TTGGGATCTCTCGACACTTGACTAGAAACAAAGGGAAGTAGGTGGAATCCATACACCCCTCTGTACAGGCTTCTGATTTCACTGGCTGTTTTCCAGTGTATGTGAAGCCCACACATAGCCAACAGGAGCCAGGGAATTTCAAGTGGCTGCAGTCAGATGGGAGTTTGCAGGGAAGGTCCCTCTGCCCACCTCTTTGGGTAGTGCCTGGCCTGGAAGTGGCTGATGGAGACGCCCCGAGCAGTGTGAGAAGAGGTGGAGGCTTTCTGTCAGTAACAGGCAGAGTTTAGGCACCAAGCAGAGTGCAAAGTTCCCAGGGGACACGTGTGTTTACTGCTGACACCATAAGAGCTTTAAAGCCACAGATGATTTTTTTTAAAAAATCTGTGACTTTTGAGCAATTAATTGCACATGGAAGGTATGAACCCTCTATTTTAATGGCCCTGGTACAAGTGTTTGGTGCGGCTTGTGGAACAAATACTCATCTATGCAGCCAGTCTTCAAAGACATGGCGTTCAAAATAACAGGTGTGTGCTAGAATAAAATAAGATGGATATGTCTTTGCTCCTATGCAGTTTACCTGCTAGTGGGGAGATCACATAAAACAGAGTATGGGACGCAGAAGAAGGCCAGTGAAAGGTAAAGACTAGAATAACAAATGAGCAAAAAAATGACCAGTGCGAGGATGCCTCCTGCAGCCACACCTGAGCAACATTTCAATCCTGGGTGACGTTTGAATCCTGCAAAGCTGACTCATTTTCTCCCTGTTCATTTCTGGTGTATAGAATGAAAAGGAGGGCCGGGGGTGGGAGTTACTCCTCTTTCCAGGCAGAACCCTGCCCAGGCCTGTTCTGCATCAGGGACGATTTCCAGCTTTACGAAGTCAAGGCTATGACCATGATGGGTCCCCTAATCTTTATGGCCTGTTTTCTTAGGTGTGATGTATCGGTCAAGAATGATCTTCCTGACAGTGCGTGTGGATGGTGAGATAAAGTGTCCTGGGGACCGAGGAGGGAAGGAAAGCCTTGCACCTAGGTCTAAGATCAGCCGCAGCCCTGCCCAGGGTGGGGGAGTGGCACCTGACTGGGCCATCAGATTTGAGAACTCAGGGTTCAGGTTTCCTCAGTGTCAGCCTCCTGGCTGCAAGCCTTACAGTGACAAAGCCTCGGGCAGAGGCCTCAACACTCACTTGCTGCCCACACAGTGCACAAGGTCTAAAGTGATGTCAAGGCGTGAGCCCTCCTGGCGCCCCTCGGTGACAAGTCCTGCCAAAGAGCTGACCAAGCCCGTGAGGGTGCTCAGTTGTTTCTGTAAAACCATTTGCTACAAGACACAAGGATGGCTTATAGGAAAATACACCAAAGGGAGAGCTGCAGAGTCACCATCTGGCTGGGACGCCCACTGCCCAGTAGGGCTTCCTGCTCAAAGCTAAAGTAAGCTGCGCCCCAGGGCCTCAGGTTTGCTCAGCCACGGCCGTGACTGCCCAAAGGAAGCCTGCTTCCTGCTCCCAGGACCCCCAAAGCACTGATGAGAGGAGTCTGACTCCACTTGAGTTTTGCCGTAGGATCTGATGCCTGGGCTGGTTCTGCATCCCTGGTCTCCACCAGCCCAGGGCTCAAGGGACTGGAGGTTCAGAGCTTCAGCCTCCCATCGGAGGAGAGGTCACTACTCACTTTAGAACACTTTGCCATGCCACGTGCTGCACTACAGCGAACTCATCCGCGTGAGCTCTGCGCAGACTGCTAGCTGCTCAGAAAGCTACCACAATTTTGTTCCAGGCTAAACAGTAAATATCCTCAAGAAGAGTAGGAATGTCCTCAGATGGAAGTCCTCACATCCTTTCCTTCAGAGAGACAGTGGTTAGCTAGCACCTCCGAGGCAGGACTTTCAGGCCTTTGAACTTTCAGAAGGATCCATCCAGAGAACTCTGCTACTGCCTGCAATATCCCCGAATAACCAGTTTCCTTCCTCACTGCAGCAAAGTAACTCACGCTTGGAAAGAGCATCTTTAGTGCCTCCAGGCCAGAGACAAGCAGAGGGCAGCCAGCCAGACTGAGAGCAGGGGCCGGGCAGCTGGCCAAGGCCAGGTTGCTCTCACGTAGCACATGAGCAGGCCACAAGTCCAGCAAGTCTTCTGTGCTTCTCATTAGGCCTCCATCTGTGGCCTCACTCCCTGTTTGCACTAAAACATGCTTAACTGCAAGGTTTCCTTTAAAATGTTGGGTTCCAATAATGCCACCATGGCATTGACCCTGTGATCCTGTGCCACCAGCCCAATGTGGCTTCCTTGGTCATCTCAATGCTCTTATTTCCTTGATGCTCTCAGTTCTGTTCACTGAATAGTATGTTCTGGAGCCCTGGCGGCCCCCACCCCTTCTATTGCCTACACACCCCCTCTGCTTCCACCCCTCCAGGCCTCCTCTCCCTGCCCAGCAGGTCTCCCCTGAGCCCCTCCTGCTTCCCCAGGCTGCTCCTTCTGTTGTTACACTGCTCCTAGGCGCTCAGCTCTCTGCCCACTCCTTCGCAGCTTTCTCAGGGACACGCGGCTCTGCCCAAGCCTTGCACATCCACGTAGTCCACTTCACTGTGGGCCTCTGCTCCGCTCGCCCTCCACACAAGCTCTCAGCTCCTCTCACAACTAAGCCACTTGGCTGTCTTCCAAATCTCGATTTCTAGCCCAGATGCTCTCCTGCCAAACAGGGCCATAGTTCCAGTTACATAATATACCTATTTGTGTTTCTAGCAGAAATTGCAAACTACCTGTCAAAGAGTGAATTTCTTATCTTTCTTCTAACTATTGTTCACTTCACATGACTCCTGTTACAGCTAGAAGTACTGGCCCACCAAACCAGGAACCCTGGACACATGCTATACTTCTCTCCCTCCCTCATCTCTATATTCCATCAGTTCAATCTCTTCTCGCTCCAGATGTCCCTCAAGTCAGTCCCTTCCTTTTTCAGATGCTGCCTCTGCCTGAGTTTGAACCTTATTTCTCGCCTTGACTCATCAACAGCTTTAGAGCTAGTCTTGCTCTTTCGAGACTCACCTCCTCAAATGTGTCTGTACGCTACAGCAAGATTTATTTTTCAAAACCACAAATCCAGTGACAGCATTCTCCATACGGGGTCATCTGCCTCTCTCTTCCATCCCCAGCCTCACTTCCCACCACAATCCTGAGGTCATTCTCGGCTCTGATCTGTCTTCACTGCTTGCTGAAGGCTCCATTCCCTCTCATGCCTTTCAATTCTTACTTTCCATTTTGGTTCCTGGGAAGGTCTTCTCTCCCTTTCTGTGCCAAGTCTCCAGTTCAGTTGTTCCTTAAGACTTGGTGTAATCATCTCCTCCTTTTATAAGATCCACTGGCTTCACTCCTCACTCCCCATCCCCTAACTTGGGGGGAGAGAGACATTTCTCCCTGTGATTTAATACAATTCTCGAGCTTGCGTACGCACCCCAGACTTCACACACACAGGTGCGTGTGCACGTTAAGTACGGATAACCTGGCATTTAGGGCACTGCAGCACGGCTGCTGGTCGCCCCTGTGCTTCTCCCACTGCCATATCACCATTTCATCTTTACATCATTCTGGCAGTAGTATGTGGTTGTTTTATAACTGCTAAATTCATGAAGGCATTCCCCCAACACCTGAGCATAGTCATATGTGCTATAATATTTGATGAAAATATTTCCTTACTGACTGCTGAGCCTCATTCACGACTTCTAAGGCACCATCATGCGCACAGTATAATCTGTGTATGTAGGCACCCCGGTCTCACAGGAGCCACAGCACTCTCTCCTGTTGGAATGGACCCTGCCTGATACGACCTCAGTCAGAGCTGGCCTTCAACTGTCAGGGTCGTAAGTCCCCTTAAGGGCCACTTGCCTGCTCCACCGGCCCTGTCTCTGTTTCTGCCTCACTGACTTCAACACCCACCCATTGACAAACTACAGGAAAACGAGCAACAAAGGGCCACCTTTGGTTCTTCATTTGTGTCAAACGCTTGATGTAAACACAGTGCTGCCTCAGCTCAAGAGCTTCAGAGCAAAGAGTTTTTGGAGAGAGAGGACGTGTGCAATAGCTGGAAGCTTCTGCATAGGTCGACGTTCTGATGCTGTAAACCAAAATGCGGGGATCAGGGCTCTGAGTCCAGGGGCCAGGCATCACCCCAGGGGTCCCCTTTGGCAGTAGCTGCAGCAACACATGAAAAATGGGCAAGGCCAGATAAGAACCCACATCTTATCCGGAATCCCACAGTTTCCGGAACTCATTACCCTCTTAACAGCAGGAGCGCCTACAGTGAGAGTAGGGGTAATTTCCAAACCAGGTGTGGTGATGCCACAGCAAGAAAAAGCTTGCATCCTAGATATCCTATGTGGCTTTCTGGAGACTTCTAATACCCATATCTGAGCTACTTCACTCACAGAATTGCATTGGGTTGACTGATAGTTATCTTCTTACACATCTAAGTGGTAATAGATGCCTCAATAAAAAAGGAGAGATTGGATTATCAAGTCAGGAGGATGCTCAGAGAGAACCTGGCCCAAACAGCCTTATTTCACAGTAAGATGCAGAAGCTGATGTCCACAGTGCTAAAACCTCTGGTCCAAAATAAGAAAAATTTCAAGTCCACAAATACCTCCAAGAAGGCTCCACTAAGGACTCATGATTTTAGGAGTCTTTTCAACATTTAGTAAAAATTTCAACATTCAACTGTGTCTACTTACCTTAGTGTTTCCTCAGAAGGCAGTTACTGGATCTTACATCAATTTGCAATTGACAGTAAATTTGCAGTGTCTTTAAGTAATTTATTTCATGCTCTGGGTGAAAACTAACAGAGTCTTCTCTCTAAGGCTTTGCTGTTCATTCACATCCATCCCTCATACTATCTGGCCCACTGCTCTAAACAAGAAATAGTCCCGCTCAAGAAATACAATCCTACTGACTCCTGACTAGGAAAGACCAGAAAGTACAATCACAAGAAAGCAAGCCTTCTAGATCTTACCATTCGAGATGGTTTTCCACAAACGCTGACATGGGGCTGATCTGCACGGTGTAGGTATCATTTGCAGAGTACTCAAAGAGTCCGTAGTAGGGGTTGAAGAGCTCCTGAGACAAAAGGAAGAAGAACTCTCGCGAAGGACCACTGTAGTCCAGGCTGCGAAGGAAGCAGAGGCCCGGGAAGCTCGTTACATGTGGGAGGTGGGGGACTGTTTCTATCCAGGTTCTAGTGTGTTCTTTCAGAGTGAGTGTGGGGAAAACAGAGAGTAGCCTCTGTTCTTTACAGTGGATCCCTGCAGAAGCATAACTTGCTGTAGAAAATGAGGATGCAGTAATTGGTAGGGAAGTTTCTTACTAGATGTCCATGAATAAACCCTTATGGCAGTATTTCTTAGCCTTTTTTTTCAGTCATATAACACCTATTGGATAAACCACACAGCTGGCCCATTAAAAAGAAGGACTTTGTTATGAGAGCATAGAAGAATTTCCTGCTATAGTGCATGTGTGCAATGCCTGTGTGCATGTGTATGAACTAAAAGAACTTTCCCGGTTTGTTCTGATACACCCTCCTAGGTAGGCTCGCCCTCCACTGTTGAGATGGTTTTCTATGAAATCACTGAAATGCTATGAAAAATTTGGTATGTAGTTGCGTATTCACTCCCTAGGAGGAAGAGCTTCTCTGATCAGATAATCAGAAGTGTACGCCACCTGAAAAAGTAAAGATCTGCTAGCTTAAGTCTGTATTTTTGGCTCATGCACAGTATAAGTGTGTAACCTCACACTCTAGCACATGCCAATAAATCTCAGGCTTTTGAAGAATGTGAAATCTCAGACTCCGCAGTACCTGGAGAAGGACATCTTGTAAAGACATGATCAGAATCACCCTGGGGCAAAGGCTAAGAGCCACCCTGCTCTTTCCTGAGCAAAATCACCAAGATGTGGCGGCTCTGGCCTGCCCACAGTGATTGAGGTGTCTGCATAAAACTGCTGGTGCCTCACCCCTCCTCTCCGACAAAGGTGACATAGAGCTTGTTTCTCTGAAGCTCCTTCCGGGAATAGGCCATCACCTGATTGAAGGTTCCTTCTAACAAGTGGTCCCGACGAATGATGAGCCTGGGAAGAAGAAGCCATGTGGGCAGTGAGTGGTGGCTCCAAGCTCTGATGTTGGAGGGTGTTTTAGATGAGCTGTAGGTGCCTGGGCTTACGGTCTCACTCCCTGCCTCTCCAACGAGGTACAGATTCCATCAGTTCAGCATTGGACTTATTTTAATGCACTTTGCAAAATACTGGGAGCACAGGGACAACATGTTCACTTTTATAATTGGATGCACTCCATCATATTGGACTACTTTTAGTATTCTTTTCGATCAATTCCAAAAAGAATCTCTAAAGTTGGATACCTCAGTTTAGATTCATATTTTAAAGATGAAAATAATAAACCCAGATGGGAAAAATACAACTATTCACTTGGACCCCAATTACAAAGTTATAGAATCCATGGATTTGACTAAAGAGTTAAATTTGTTCCAAAAATAAGTAAAAGGAAATACACATTTTAAAATTTTAGTTCAAGATTCTTTGTTTTCTGAAAAGGTTTATCATTAATTTTATATATGCCTTTGTCTCAAATCAGTTTTTTTCTCTCCCTCCTTCTTTTCTCTTTCCTTCCTTTCTGCTTCTTTTCCAATTTAACTTCCTTTCTTCTTTCTTCCCACCTTCTTTCATTCTTTCCTCCCTTCCTTGAACCTAACTGTTACCACACCATGGAATCCAATCTCCAAAAAGTATCACAAAGGTTATGGGGGAGGACAGGATAGAAAAATCTAGCCTCTGAATTCAGGGATAAGCACGGGAGCACTCACTTAATTTTCCCTGGACCCTGACCAAATCCTTTGGCTTCCAGTTTCCGGTAGAAATTGCGGAGCTTGGCCTCAAAGTCTCTCCGGTAGGGTGAGGGGGCTCTTGCACTGGCTCTCTGTAAACCTGCAGAGAGAAGCACATGGTCTGAAGATAAGCACTCATATGTGGAGTGATGTTAGAAGAAGGGCCAACCAGAAGCATTTTCCTATGCCTTCCTATTTTTCTTCTCAAAGAAGTTTCCCTTGATTTCCATTACTCTTTCAGTTACTTTTATAATAAATGGAAAAGGTATTAATAAAGAGAAAAAGGAATTCTGATGACAATAAACATTTACATCTCCCGCTCCATTTCAAGATGTATTTCTCTTAAAATACCTTGATTAGCATATCTACTGGCTTAATTGTACTTAAATAATCTAAAACAACATAAATCAAACTAGTCTAAATTTTTCTTGTAAGTTCCTATACTATAAGAAGTGATTGTAACTATAGTGAGGCAAGTCAGACTGTAATACATATGTATGTCATACTTCTCTAACTATATTGATCCTAAATTAAACATAGGTGTTCAGTAGGGCCCAGAGAATTTAAGAATTTGTATTAGATTACCTTGCATCATAGAAGAAACATTTATAGTAATAATAATAATATTAACAACAACAACAACACCAAGAACTTGTTCACTCTATATATAGTAGAGAGTTTTTATATTGTTCAGAATCTTTGTAAATGCTTTATTATCTTTATATACTTTTTAATGAAAAAAATGAGTGGAGAAAATAACATTCTTCTACAAGTTTTTTTTTAATGTTTATTTTTGAAAGGCAAACACAAAGCATGAGTAGAGGAGGAGCAGAGAGAAAGAGGGATACAGAGTTTGAAGCAGGCTCCAGGCTCTGAGCTGTCAGCCAGAGCCAGATTTGGGGCTCAAACTCACGAACTGTAAGATCACGACCTGAGCCAAAGTCAGACGCTTAACAACTGAGTCACCCAGGCGCCCTGTTTCTTCTCTTAGTTTTACAGATGGCCAGAAACACAGCTTATCCCTTCAATAACTAATTAAGAGTTATTATTTATTAGTTATACTATTAATATATTAATAGTTATATTAATAAAGTATAATATAGAATTATATTTAATTATAACATATGCTATATTTATTAGTTATTGAAGCCAGTCCAGTTACTACTTACTATATTCCAGATATTGAATTTATATTCTAAAGAAGACTGATACCAACAAACTCACAGGAATGAGAATATAATTACAAGTTGAGATGACTGCGGCCCATGAAGGAATGGAACTCAGTTCTTTGAGATCATAAATACTTTGGCCAACTTCAGGGAGGCTGTCCTAAGAAATATCTGCAGAGTAAGTAAGCATGAATTAGACTGAACTATTTAGGAAAGGCCTCCATTGAACTAAGACAAGAGATGAGCTGGGAGACGAGCAATCTAGGTAGAGGATCAGCATGTGCAAAGGTACTGCAGCAGAATGGAAAGTGGTGCTCCAGTTTATCTGGAGCATGGGGCATAAGGATCAGAGTGATGCAAAACAAGGGTTGAGAGGTGGCCAGGAGGTGACCAAACAGGATAATGTTCACTCTGTTAAACAGTTTTGTTTAATGCTGAGCACAAAAGGAAGCCATTGCACGAGGGCTGACATGTTGAGACTTGAGTTATGAAAACATCAGTCTTTCCACAGTAGAGGGAAAAAATGAGAGGGCTCAGGTGGATTTAGAGAGCCCTAAATTGGACTAGGGTGGTGTCAGTGGAGGTGAGAAGTAGACAGACTGGAGATGTGTTTAGGAGGCAGTGAACCGAACATAGGTAGTGAGGGAGAAGTAGGCTTCAGATTTTGTATTTGAAGGGACTGCAGTGACAGTCATTGAGATGGGGAACAATGGAAGAAGAACAAATCTGTGGGGGAGATCATGAGCTTGGTCTTTGATGGCACTACCTTTGAATGGACTATTGGAAAGGGACATAGGTTGAGAAAGAAGAGAAGAAACCTGGGACTGAGCCTCGAGCATGGCAGGAAGTGAAGAATGAATCTGCAAAGGTGGCCAAAGTAGTAGATGAAATGCATACAGTAGTGTCACAGAAGCTAACTCAAGAGGTGACTTAAGAGGGAGATCAGTCAATGATATCAAATGTGGTTTCTTGTTAAATGTGCGAATTACCCAGTGGATTGCGAGCCCGGACGTCACAGTAACTTTAGTGAAGACCTCCTCTAATGCACAGGTGTGGAACAGAAGGAGAGGCAGGCTTCGTAGCCTTGTGGGATTGGTAGCAGGCATTTGAGAAAGTGTTTACCTAATGGCTTCCATTTTCTCAGTGAAGGGAGAAGGGAATAGTTTTTCTAGAAGAGACACAGAGGGTTGGAGGTTTGAGGGAAGCATAAACATTTGAAACTGCAGGAGAGAAGTTTACCAAGGAAATATGGTAGAGTTTTCTTTTGGGTGTTCAAGGTCCATGTGAGGTGAGAGATGACTAACTTATAATTTATAATCTGCCCTGTCAGGTGAATTTGCCCAAGAATGCCTGAGCACAGAAGTAGAGGATGCAGATAGTACGCTTGTCTAGGGGCACAGTTCTGTAAAAAAAAAAAAAAAAAAAAATGGAGAGGGCTGTAGAGTTTACATCACTGGCACAGATATTACTGGAATAATGAAGCATGGAATCTGTGCCGGATAAGGGATGGACAGAGAGGAAAGGAGAGGTGTGCGTGAAGTCGGGGCCCCGATGAAGGCACAGGATGGTAATGGGCAGAGCAGTTGAGTAAGTGTGTTGGGCAGGAGCAGAATGCCTGGGTCAGTGATTTTAGAGATGACAACAAGGTGGGAAGGTGACTGTGGGAAAAGTGGTTGTGGTGGGGAAGTGGCAGGTCATTCCAGACGAGGAAACTCCAGAAACCAGAAGGCCAGGGAAATGAATGGGTATCCTTGTGGATGTTGAAGTCATTCAGGAGGATGGAAGGCCTGGCGAAGGAGAGAGAGACTGTGAGACAGGTACCACAGGCCTTGGGAATAAGAAAAAGGCTGGCAGATGGCAGCAACCAGGGGTCCGGGGAGAGACAGCTGACTGGTACAAACAAGGAAACATGAAGGGCACCAGCCTCGCCTCTGGGCTCCCCAGCACCGAAGGTGTGAGGGAGCCAACGGCCACCACTTGAAAAGACTTATCATCAGTGAAATGCCAGGTTTCAGGCTACAGGCAGGTCTAGAATACAAGTCCATAGGTGCAAGTATCATTTTCTGTCCAGTAGATTACAGTGTATTTTATAATATGACCTTTACTGTTGCTGGTATTACCACTGCCCATGATGTAGTTTTCTAATCACTTATGCTTAACAAAGTACTTTGGCGTAAATATCTATGATTTGCTATATCTGTAGCAAATCAGATGTATTCAGATAAATTTTATGAAAGTCTAGAGAAATGAGAATTACAAAATTTAACATCAAAATTTTTGGACTGCATAATCTAGGACCTCATGGCCAGAGCTAGGAGAATAAAGAATTAAAATAAACTGAATGATTGTTTGGATTTGTGGTATTAGTAATGGCTCATTAGGAAACTTGATTCCTTTTATTTTATTTATGTATTTATTTATTTTTTAAAAAATTTTTTAAAATGTTTTATTTATTTCTAGGAGAGAGCGAGAGAGACAGCGTGAACAGGGGAGGGTCAGAGAGAGAGGGAGACACAGACTCTGAAACAGGCTCCAGGCTCTGAGCTGGCAGTCAGCACAGAGCCCGACGCGGGGCTCAAACCCAAGAACCGCGAGATCATGACCTAAGCGAAAGTCGGACGCTTAACCGACTAAGCCACCCAGGCGCCCCAACTTGATTCCTTTTATAAAAGTCAGATAAGCAATTCTCATTTAGCAAGTAACTCTTTATTCTGTCTTATTTTTTCCTCTTTGTAATATGATACCTCGCTCACGTAATGATGTTAAAAGCATACTGTACTGTCAAATCTTCCAACCAAAGTGCAGATGCTTTATCAGGCTGGGACCATCTCTATAACAAAATGGCAGATCATCTTGCAGACCAATAGGTTCCCCCAAATGGAAGGCTCTGCTCCCCACAAATAAGTCATCCTGTGTGCATGGGAACATTTGACTGTCCTGATGCTGGCTCTGGAAAAGCTCCTTGTCCTCTTTTTCCCTGGGCCATGGCATCTCAATTGTGCTGTGTGTCAGAGGGAGCGCGAATTGGGCATTTCCTTAGCAATGTCATTGGTACACTGGTTTGGAGGAAATGACGACAAGGAGATACTGACTTAGAAACAGATTTTAGCAATTCATAAAACTACCTCTAAGAGACAGTTCTGAGTGACGTGACTTGGAAGATCCAAACTAAAAGATATTCTAGTTTTAGAAACCTATGGCAGTACTGAGTGATGGTGAGTGAGACACTCCTTCTGAGGGGCTGAGCACACTGCTAAATTCTGTGTCTCTTGTGAATTTCTCCACTGGCTTCAAAAGCCAAGCTCAGACTCTGATTCTAGAAGTTGTTAGACAGGAACCTCCTAGATTTTTTTTTTTTTGAGAGAGAGAGAGAGAGAGAGAGAGAGAGAATGTGCATGTGCAGGGCAGAAGGAGAGGGACAGACAGAATCTCAAGCAGGCTCCAGGACCAGTGAGGAGCTTGATGTGGGGCTTGATCTTATGACTGTGAGGTCATGACCTGAGCCCAAGCTCATCCGACCTTGCCACCCAGGTGCCCCCCTACTAGATTTTTGAAACGAAATCCCTTTACATCTATCTATCTATCTATCTATCTATCTATCTAATCTCTCTTTACTTTTAAATTTATAAAAAGAAATTCGGGTTTATCCTCAAGGCTTAGAACAAGGTATTATTATGACCAAACAACTGAGGAAAAACTTTCCTGGATCCCATTTGGGAGCATGGATTTGACTTACACTCATTAGCTTGATGAACCCAGGAACAAAAGCTTATGGTTTTCACTAAACAGTTCAGTATAAATTTCCTCATTTGAACAGAAAATGCCTATAAAGAATTTCTGTAATATGGGTAAATTAATCCTAATACATAAAGAAAACTGTAGGGGAACAATTTCACGTGTAAGAAAACTCTTCGACACCTTCGTGAGTACATAATGGTGGTCCCTAGTAACCATATTACCCAGTAATTCCTTTACACTTTAACAAAAAGTTACTAAAATTGGTATCTAATAACATTCAGAGTCATAAGGCAGAATGTTTCAGAAAGGGCTTGTCCCTTTTAAATGCCTGCAGAGTATTTTTGGATTACAATAGTAATTTAGAGCTGGGGTCAGCAGACTTTTTCTGTGAAGGGCCAGGTAGTAAATATTTTAGGCTTTTGTGGCCATCTGGTCTCATTGCTACTACCCAGCTCTGCTGCTGTAGTATGGAAGTTGCTATAGAAAAATATATAAATAAACAGGTGTGGCCAGGGTTCAGTTAAATTCTATTTATAGACACTGAAATTTGAATTTCATATAATTGTCACATGTCATGAAACACTGTTTTTGTAAAAACATTTTCAAATTATTTGAAAATGTAGAACGCATTGTAGCTTGGGGGCATTACAAAAACAGGCAGCAATTGTCAGCACCCGATTCTGACAGTGTCCTTTCAATCTGAAAATTGAAGGGGAGGAAGGGAGGAAGGACATATGCAGAACTGGCCTTCTTCGTCTGCATCTGGAAACACAGGGGCCTCTACAGCACACAGAATGCCAAATATTCAGGTTACCTGGGGAGTTCTGAGGTGAGGAACAGGGTGAACAGCGGGGAGAGAAGCTGTACCCGGGATGGAAGGCAGCCTGCAGTGGGACGTAGGACATAATCTCTTCTTCAAAGAGACTGCAAAGTGAGAAAAGAAGGAGGAGGAGGAGGAGAAACAAGGAGGAAGGGGAAGAAGGAGGAAGGGGAGGAGGAGGAAAAGAAGAGGAAGAGGAGGCAAGAGGCAGAAGCAGGGGGAAGAGAGGGGGGAAGAAGGGGAGGGGGAAGGGGGGGAAAGAAGAAGAAAAAGACATAAAGAAAAGAAAGAAAGGAAAAATGTTAGTTTTCTGTCCATGAGGGAGTGTTCATGAACTGGGGTGATAGTGGTTACAGTTCTCACAAGGCAAAAAAAGCACTTAGGTTCACTTTGATAGGCACAAGCCAGTGTGCAAATTCTCAGAATTATTTTAGACTCGAATTAATCCTGCAAAAGTAAATTCTCCATCAAGTACCATACACAATTCTTGATACTCCAGTTGTAAATGTAAAGAAAGCGATGGACAGCAGGTACAAGGGCGGGGCCCTACTTTAGTTGCAGTCCCTAGAATCCTCTAGAACAAATGCTGAATGTTTCCGTTGTAGCTGTAGCGGAGAACTACCCAGAGCAGCTTTTCCAGAGGGATTCAGGCTTAGCTCCTTACCTCAGCAAAATGACTAGATCTGCATCACAGGACAACTTTTCAAGCCCATGATTACCCTCAGTCCGAATGTAATGGATTTTCTCCCTAGAATAATGTGGGAAAGAGAATAAGAATTACATACCAATACATAAGCTAAGGAATAAATCCCTTTCCGATTCATTTTGTCTCTGCCAACATGGCTGAATAGCAACGTTCTAATGCCCAGTTCCCATGTTCTAATGCATTGAACATGTTCAATGTTTTAATGCAGGTTCCCATGATGCTCTAATAGGGACCACCTTCCTCAGGCTCACACAGCGGTGGAAGTCGAGGAACACAACAAAGGTAGGACCTCAGATAGCAATGACGGGAGTGAAGATGGATAAGGAGAGCCGCTGAAGGACTAGCTCAGGAGCCAGAGGCTCCTGAGCAAGAGGACAACTTGAGAAGAGATGCAAGAGGGCATCTCTTGAGAAACCTTATGCCTAATGGAAAACGTATAATGCCACACCGGGTAAGAGAGGGTCTAGTGTTCAGAAATCCAGAGTCTCCTAGGTCAGCCTGAGCACAGACATCGATTTCTCTGCTTAATTACAATTTTCATTCTCTCTTTCATGACCTCCAACTATAACCTGGGAAATTATTCCAAGGAGCGTGTAGATAAATAACGTTTATTTTGATCAAATAAACTTTGTACTTTGCTTCTCTGACATTCAAATATTCAAAAATTCCAGGGGTGCCTGGGTGGCTTAGTCGGTTAAGTGTTAGATTCTTGATTTCAGCTCAGGTCATGTGTGAGTTTGAGCCCCGCATCAGGCTCTGTGCTGAAGCATGGAGCCTGCTTGGGATTCTTTCTCTCTCTCTGTCCCCCCACCCCCACCCCCAATAAACATTTAAAAATCCAAAAACAAATATTCAGATATTACAATGCCACAACTAGTGGTTTTCAATGGTTTGGAAAAATGGAGCAGATGTGGCTGCACATCATTTTGCAGGGAGGATGTGGAAGCCCAGCCAAGAGTGCAAGCACCAAGCCTCCTTCACCACCTGTTCCTCCATATGCGTGCGTCAAAGAAGTGAAAAATTTTCCTTTTGAAGAGATGCCACAGAAATCTGGGAAGATGTACAGATTAATTTTTTGTAATATTTAACTTTCTTTTTTGTTAAAGTTTTCATTTTGAGATGATTTTCGAGTCACATGTAGTTGTAAGAAATTAATACAGAGCCATCCAGTACACCCTATACTCAGTTTACTCCAAGGTATGACTTGTTAAATGACCTATTTCTAAAAATACTGCAGATACCATTTTTTCCCTCTCTCTGATTATAATAATGTCATCATTACTTGCATATTTTCAGTCAACAATATAATAAACTTGACCTTTTAGTTCACATATTCTTTAAAAGGGAAACTTTTTGGCCTCTACAAAGATAAACAAAATAGGATTAAACAGAGAAACTCATTGTGATCCAAACTATCAGTATAGGTAGGGTTTGACTGAGGGTTTGAAAAAATGGAGCAGATGTATGTGCACATCATTTTGCAGGGAGGATGTGGAAGCCCAGCCAAGAGTGAAAGCACTCATGCCTCCTCCACCCACTGTCTCTTCCTCGGTGTCCCTATGTTCTTAATTCCATGTTCCTGAGCTTTGGCCTCTAAATCCTGATACCACCTCACAGGCCTCTTGTTTGGAAGACTTTTGTGGTTAACTGACTTCAGCCCTACAAAGGACTCTCAAATCCATGTCCCCCCAGTGACAATGCCCCTAGGGCACATTATCCTGTTGCCCCAGGGACCCATATGTGGGTAAGCCCCTGGTCTCCTTGTCTAGAGAAAAAATGGAGAGAACATTCTAGTGATTGTCCTTTGTTCCCAGGGTCCCTGAGGAAATGAAGTCCAAAGGGGGTCAGCTCTACTAGGGCAGCAAAGTGGCTCTATTATCTCACTGCCCACATAGACCACATCCAGGTATCAGATAGCCAAGCATAGTTTTCCGAGACTTTCAGTGGCTCTTCATGGGACATTGCATCCTCTCTCACATATATGAAAATCTCATGCAGACCTGGTGGTCTGGGGGGCCTCCAAATGCCTCTGGAACTCAACTCCAAAGGCATCGGAACTAGGAAGGATCTCTGAAGGCAAGAATGCCATCTGCCTCTCCAACATATATCCCTAGCTCACCAGAAAAACTGCAGCACAAAACTCTCCTCAGAACTCAATTCAGTAGAGCCACCTGCCTTCCTGACATCTTGACATCTCCCTTTGTGGCCTCAAAGACCTCGAAGCTTAAAATCCAAATGAAATCCTTGACATTCTTCTATCACTATCACTGAATTCTGATCCTGTCCTTTGCGGCCTTTAACACAAGCTATAGCTATATATTTGGCTTAAGGAAAACAAAAAGTCAAATTTGTCCATTGTCTGTCTTCTTCAATAGATTGCAAATACTATGCAAAGTAGGGTCAATGTCTGTTTTGCTTTGTTACTGCATACACAAATCCACTACAATCCTGATCCAGAATAGTGGCACAATAAAAGCATTAGTTGAAGGAAGAATGAATGAATGAGGACTGCTACCATGCCCCTTAACGTGAACAGATGTCATTAACCATTGGGTTTTAGGGCTCCACCTTCCCTCTTTACATGTGAGTTCCTTATGATTCACTGTTGTCTGCTGGACACAGTTTTCTGAGAACTCACTCTCCACCCTCTAACCTAGCAACTGGCTTTGTGGACCCAAGACAGTGGATCCATGGTTCCCTGGGAAAAGAATGGCCGAACAGGGTCACAGTCTCTACTTGGGGACAACAGAGGAAGCAGGAAGTTCTTCCTCTGGGCAGTGTCATAGGAAAAGGAGGTTTTCTTTTCAATTTCTGGACCTTTAAAATGGAGCTGACTCCCCCTTACAGCACGTCTGGGGGCGGGCACAGGCCCAGTCATAGCGAGTAGTGCCTGGCTCCCTGAAGAGCAACGTCTTGTTCTTGTACTCCCTTTATAAATCCATGGCCTCTTAGTGCTCGCTTCGGCAGCACATATACTAAATCCACGGCCTCTTAGTCATTGTGGACCGTCTGCTTTTGATGAGATATTTGGGGTCTCATCTTGGATCTACAGGTCCTTAAAAGAATCCATATCTTAAAGAAGTTATTAGTTTCTGTACTAAATAATTGCCAAGATTTTTAAAATTCCAATATGTCCTAATTCCACGTTCCCCCGTATCTGGAAAATCATAATTGTACAATTCTGCACTGCAACAAAGCCTTTAAAACGTTTCTTAGATTTTGTTATAATGTGATACTATGCAATAGTACAGAAGATAATTTCCTTTCCCTTGAAAACAGTGCATTCTTTTACCCAGGGGATTACATTTTTCACTTTTAAAAAACTTAAATGGGACTCTAGTGCCTTTGGTGAGTTCAAATTCCTCCAAAAAATAAGCTGTGAACTCATTACTTAGTGGTAGAATCAGCAACATAAAAAATGTTCAAGAGCACCACGATCTCAGAAGCTTTTCAGGTAGCACAACTCCTCTGAAAATCCCTTAGAAATTCCCTTAAATTATGATGTACTGTGAGTCAGAGAATAGTCCACAAGTAAATGGCACAGTAATGAAATGGGTAGAGTTGAACATAAGTGGAAATGACAAACACTTGTGCTAAAGTTCACCAGTCCATGCTACAGATCTTTCATTCACTCCAAATGTAATTAGTGTTTCTTATCTTCAAAGTAGAGGACTGGGTTCTGGGGGGGAGTGAATCAGAGGCAAAGAAAGGAGGGCCCTGCTCTAAGGGGCTCACGTATTGTAGGGAGACATCGGAAGAGGCAGCTACGAGAGCTGGTGAAAAAATACCCTAGAGGTACAAAAAGGAATGCTGCCAAACAAGGCAAAAGAAATACTAAAGTTTGCCTGGGTCAGTGAATCTTTGCATTTGGTTTGAGCCTTTAAAATGAGTTAAGAAGTTCTTAAGAGAAAAGCCATTCCCAGAGGGCAGAGGTAGGAGGTGACAGACTGTTTGGTGGAGGTAGAAGACTCTAGAGTAAAAAACCAGCGCGGGGATGGAGAGTTAGGTTAGGGCCAGACTTTGGAGACCACGGAAACTGTGCTGAAAAATCCTGACTTTATTTCACACACAATGGGAAGCTTTTTTGAAGGGCAGTAGTGATATGATTTAATCTTTGCTAAAAGAAGGTAATTCGGGTTCTAACAGGGTGAGAGATAGGGGACATCTTCTAGGAGATTCCTACAAAATCCAAGAGAGAAATGCTGGGCACCCAAACACAGGCCATGACAGGGAAGGAAAGAGAAGCTGGAAGAGAGAAAGTGAGGAGGCAGATGTTTGGGTGTGGAGACAGAGAAAAAAGGAGGAGTTGAGATAAGGCAGTAGGGAAGACGGTGGCTCTAATTCACACAGAGTAAAACACAGGGAAAAGAGGGGTCAGTGAGGGTGTGTGTGTGGAGGGGCAAGGACAGTGAATAATTTACTCCAGCATCATCAATAGGAATTTGAATAGCAAAGAGACTATTTTCAGGTGCTGGTGATTCACTGAGGAAGTCAAGGCAGAGTATTACAGGTGTCAACTAGATTCAAAAGACCACCAAATAGGAGGTGAGGAATCAGAGGGCTTCAGTGACTGCATTCCTACCCACGTTGCCTGATCCTTCACACACACACACCCATGAAAGCATCTCCACAGTGTCCACCTGGTGACCCTGTTTCCAAGGAGATTAAGGGCAGATTTGGGCTGAACAACATGCCTCGATCAAGGGTTCCTAAGAGCTGGAGCAAGAATTCAAGCCCTAAGGGGACACACGGAAGCATCATGCATTGCCAGCTTCCAAAAGTCAGCTGAAGCAGAGCGATGCTGGGATATATTGGAGAAAACATGGGATTTAAGTTCGGAGGATATTTTCTCATCACTTTGGTGGCTGTCCTTTCCAAATGAAGTGACTCAGTTTCAGAGACACTCATGCAACAGTGACACTTATGGACAGTAAGATTTAAGTAGTTTGAACATATACTTTTGATACTTTTTGTTTGCTTGTCAGTTTATTTTTGAATGTGTTCATCTAGTATTTGGTTTACCATTAAGCAATAATATTTTAAAAAATAGAAACATTTAAAATGGGTTACAGACCTAAATGTGAGACCTGAAACCATAAAATTCCTAGAAGAAAATACAGGTGGTAATTGCTTTGACATCAGTTGCAGAAGCGTCTTTCTACATATGTCTCCTTCGGCAAGGGGAACAAAAGCAAAAACAAACTATTGGGACTACCCCAAAATAAAAAGCCTTTGCACAGTGAAGGAAACCATCAACAAAACAAAAAGACAACCTAGTGAATAGGAGAAAGTATCTGCAAATATGTCATGAAGTATTAATATCAAAATATATAAAGAATTTGCACAACTCAACACCAAACCCCCCCCCCCCAACTCAATTAAAAATGGTCAGGGGACACGAATAGCTTTTTTTCCCCCCCAAAGAAGACATACAGATGGCCCACAGATGAAAAGGTGAAAAGATGCTCAACATCACTCATCATTAGAGAAATGCAAGTCAACACCACAATGAGATCTCACCTCACACCTGTAAGAATGACTAAAATAAAAAACATAAGAAATAACATGTTGGCGAGAACGTGGAGGAAAAGGAACCAACATGGAGTGTTGGTGGGAGTGCAAGTTGGTGCAGCTACTGTGGAAAACAATATGGAGGTTCCTCAAATAATTAAAAATAGAGTTACTACATGATCCATTCATTCCAGTTCTGGGTATTTACACAAAGAAAATGAAAACCTGAATTCAAAAAGATATATGCACCCCTGTGTTTCCTGTAGCATTACTTACAACAGCCAAGATAAGGAAGCAATCCAAGTAGACATCCATAGATGAATGGATAAAGAAGATGTGGTATATATATGTATATATACAATGGAATATTACTCTACCATAAAAAGAATGAAATCTTGCCATTTGCAACAACGTGGATGGATCTAAAGGATATAATGCTAAGTGATATACATCAATAAAGAAACACAAATATCATATGATCTCACTCCTGTGTAGAATCTGAGAAACAAAAGAAGCAAGGAAAAAAGAGACAGACAAAAAACCAGACTCTTAACAACAGAGAATAAACTGATGGTTACAAGAGAGGAGGTGGACAGCGGCTTGGGTGAAATAGGAGACAGGGATTAAGAGTACACAGATTATGATGAGCACCGAGTAACCTATAGAATTGTTGAATCACTATACTGGACACCTGAAACAAACATGACATTAATTAATATGTTAATTATATTTGAATAAAATTTTATATAGTGTTTTACATAAATAATTATTTGATGAAAGCTATTTTACCTTCTCTGTGCTTCCCTCCAAACCAATGGAAATCATTTTAGCATTGTATGAATAATATATAACTTGGCAACATGGCTATCTCTGATTGTGGCACTTCAGAGAACATTAGAATACCTGGATCCTTCATTTGGAGTATTCAAGACATGATTAAATGTATGAACAAAACGCATCATAAGCTTCTACGTTCTCTCCACAGACGTGTCGTCGCACCTGGACGACCAGCTAGAGCTACAGGGTGAAGGACAAGCCCTTACCTGAGTGCGTGGTTTCTCGCCAGGCTTGGCTGACGCTCTTGCAGCATTTCAAAAATGTTTGGCTGGCGGAGAAATGCCACAATCTTGTCATTATATGCTGAAACAGACAAAAGTGCAAGTTGTGGTTGAGTTTTCAGGCCAGAGATGATTTCTCTAAAGGTTGGAAAATACCTGCTTGTTACCAGGATTAATGCAGGAGTTTGAAGGGCAGGTAGCATACTCATCAGAAAAATGTAAGCTCTTGAGGGCTCTCTGTCTGTGACATAACAGCATTGTCATTTCTAAAAGATCAAACCAAAAGTGAACTAGATCTAAGTTAATTATCCTTAATATTCCAAGTACTTAATGGGGTGTTGACGCATCCCTGTGTGAACAGGTGAGGAGAATAAAATCATTCTCCCGTGAGCTATTTTACTCTTTTCCTCCTAACTTCTCTTGGTCATTTTGCCATAGTTATTATGGCAAAAGATTCTTTATAGGTTCAAAGAAATCCATTTCTGAGCACTTGACACTTACAACCTGTGGCCATGGTTGATTTCCCGGTAGTATTAATGGAAATATCCAAATCCATTTGGGCTTTCTTACCTCATTTCCCTTGACACAAGTGTCACGTGTTTTAGAAGGAGGTAGCTGAGGTGAGGAATGAAAACTATGCTGACTTGTCCTCATAGCCACATGGGAAAAGAGGTCTAAATTAAAAACTGCATCCAATGGCAACGAGATCCGTCACCTCATTTAAACTATGCTCTCCTGCACTCAGCTAACAAATCACTGAATGGAATAAAGAAGGGGATGAGAGTCTGGAAGAGAGCAGAGACAAGGAAGAGGGAAGAACAAATTGAGGAGGGGGGGGAAAGGGAAAAAGGGTAAAGGAGGGATGGATGCAAAGGGTAGGGATAGATTTTACCATAGGAAAGAAAAAAACAAAATACAGAATCCTGAATATTAAAGGACTTGTGATAAGAAAAACAAGGCTAAGGCTTGGGTATCCAGGATCCAAAAAGCATGATACATACCTAGTGGCAATGACTCATGTTGATGTTGGCTTCGAATAGCAGCTACCAGGCTGTGTCCTGGCCTGGCCAGTAAAGAGGCTCCTCTGTTTCTAGAGACTTCTGAAGCCTAATTTCAAAATAAAATTGTCATCATTGGAAATCTTATCAATTTCAGATGGTCTTTTGATAATAATTTTCCAATGAGGGGAAAAAGACCCAGATGTCACCTAAGTTAAAAAAGCAATGAAGTTATAATCTTCAAAATGAGTGGAAATAAGCAAGTTTAAAAAAAAGACTAGGGAGGATGGTTGATGTGCTATGTTAGGGCTTTTAAGAAAGTGATTGTGGACCTTGAGGGTGTTATGCTGAGTGAAATAAGTCAGGCAGAGAAGGACAAATATATGTTTGCACGTATAGGAGGATTAGGAGGGACTTAACGGAGGACCGTGGGGGAGAAGAAGGGGGGAAATAGTGGGGGAGAGGGAGGGAGGCAAACCATGAGAGACTCTTGAAAGCTGAGAACAAACTGAGGGCTGATGGGGGTGCGGGGGAGGGGGGAGATGGGCATGGGGGAAGGCACTTGTGGGGATGAGCACTGGGTGTTATACGGAAACCAACTTGACAATAAACTATTTGTAAAAAAAAAAAAAAAAGAAAAGAAAGTGATTGTGCAAATGTCCTAAACATTAACTAGATTAGTATACTGACTAGCCTAAGGAACATTTCTTTCCATAAATATGTTCAAGAGACATAAATGAACTCTCTGATAGTACTGAATACTATCAGTAAAGATAGGTTTGCGGCCTTAATTTCCATGAGTTAGCACTGAACTTCAGAACTGAATGTGGAACGGACTTGTTCTTTTTAACAGCATGTCTCACCCTCAGATGGCCGTTCTTTGCTAATTGCCTATTATTCCATTCACTGTGCTAGCTACTCTTCCCTCACCTGGTATCTTTTTTCTTTTCTCAAAATGCTGGAAGATAAGCATCATTAACCGCATATTACAAGCAGGAAATCTGAGGATTGGATAAAATTAAGTGTTTACAAAATTTTCAACTGTAAGAGGCAGAACCAGGGTTTGCTTGATTGTAAAGCATTTGTTGACTCCTCTCACGCTGCATCCAGTACCTTGGTTTTGAATGGGCATTTTGACAAAACTTCATGGAATACAGAACTTGTGTAGTTTAAAACTTATATTTGTGATGACTGATTTAGCTCAATTTTAAATTTTGGAATACCCTTAAGTCCTTGAGCATGATGATGAACTTTCTACAGTGATTCTATGTACATTATGTTTCTTGAAGGACCCTTGCAGGGTAAGCTATTTAAACAGAGGCTGTATAGATTTTCCACACTGGAGTATATTCACCAAGTATATGGGTATGCTGTAAGACTCATTCTGCTTAACCAACTGAGCCACCCAGGTGCCCCTAGCTGTAGGACTCATTCTGTGATATTTGGCAAAGTAAGCCAAAATAGGCTTTAAAAACATTTAAGAATTACATAGAAGTTTGCTTCGTAATGTATTTATAAAGAGTTCAAACATCCAGACAAAAAAGGAGAGAAAATTCTCCCTCTGAGACCAGTATACAATTCACTCCCATGGAGTTCAGGAGAAGTAATGAGATCCTATGCTACAAAGTCCAGAAAGGGCAAGTCAAATTCAACAGGGTCATTTAAGACTAGGCCATGTGTCATACTGCAGATGACAAACAGGATAGATGACCTAGGGCTTACTAAGTAAAGACATAAAAACCATAGTAATTGCTGGTTTTCCGTCAGGTCCTACTTGCATACTTCACATAGACAGGATTAACATCCTTCCTTTGCAGAGATATGCTATGAGTTCGCTGTCTATACATGGTGGTCTTTGAACTGCTCTTCTAGAAGTAGAAGAGATGCAGATCCATCCCTTTTGTCTCCCGGTCCTTCTCCTTGCTCACTGCTTACTTTTTTTTTTTTTTTTTTATTTATTTCTAGGAGAGAGAGAGAGACAGCGTGAGCAGGGGAGGGTCAGAGAGAGAGGGAGACACAGACTCTGAAATAGGCTCCAGGCTCTGAGCTGGCAGTCAGCACAGAGCCCGACGCGGGGCTCGAACCCACGAACCGTGAGATCGTGACCTAGGTGAAAGTCGGACGCTTAACCGACTAAGCCACCTACTTGAGGGACAAGGAAATAGATTCTGTGCCATTGTGGTGGACTTCTCACTTTGGTGTCATTAACCCTCAGCTCTGGACAGCTAGTGTAGCCAGCCTCCAAGATTTAAAAGTTGGTACTTTGGCAACTGCAGCTTCCAGTCCCAATGAAATGGTTACAATGCAAACTGTTAAAGGAAAGATTTGCTGACTATTCAAATACCCAACACTAAGTCTCCACATTTCTTCCTCCATGAATTAATAAATATGTAAAGCCTTCCTGGTACTGAAATGTTAGGTTTCTTTTCCTTGGAGGAAATTATGTCAGTCTGCCTTAGTGTGTGTTTGAAATATTTTCGATGCTGTAAAGACAGGAATCTCAAAGACAACTCAACTTAAGATTATCTAAATAATGTATTGCAGAGAGAAACTGAGGAAGCAGATCTGAGAGCAGACTTCAGGAAGGCATGGCTGTAATACAGAACTCAGGTGATGCCTGCTGTCACACCTTGAGCTAAAGTGTCTCATTGTTGGCGGGTTGCCCTGAAATAAATAGGGCTTTGAAACAGGAAGAAACTCACTTCTCTTCCTAGTTGCCAGAGGGAATTCATGTGTTACAGATAGGCTTTAGGGAAAAGTGGTGCCTTCTTCTGAGATTACTTGCTCACTGTCAAAGCTAAGCCAGATTAGCTTGCAAAACTTCAGAAACCAGATGAAGGCCAGCTACCCCAAAGGTAGACAACCGATGAATATGCTTCAGGCCAGCGACGAGTGAGATGGAGGAAACAACACAGGGGAAAGGTACGGCACGTGAGGTATCTGAACCATAGGAACACCTGCCAAGGGCAAAGGCGGTGACTGCAAAGTAGTACTGGAAGGCCTACAGATGAGTCAGAGGTTGGGAAGGTGAAACAGAAACAGCCTTCTCCAACTAGGAGCCAGGGATTTACAGGGATGGGACAGTTTCAGGCAGGACTGGAGAGGATTCTAAGATTGGGAGAGAGTTTAGTATGTGCTAGGATCCTTATAGTCCTAAAGTGGTATAAAATGGTCCATCCTAAGGAATGTTGGGTATCGAATGAGTAACTGACTTGGATCTCACCGGAAACATGATGCTAACATTTACTTTCCTAACTACTGAAAATGACCAGAAGTTTGGATTTTCCATTTAAAACCAAAATTGGACAACTCACTGAATCCCCTGGCATTTGACACTTTGTGTTACCGAGTTTCTCAGGGTGTATGTGAGAGACACAGAACGGACTCCGTCAGTGGCCTGCGTCTCCCTGACGTGCTATGACTATTCTATGACTGGCTAAAACCCAGTTTCCACTACTTTTAAGGCTTCTTTTCCTTTTGATGTTGAAATAGCTTTAATCATAATTGCAACTGTGAAAACTTCAAACATTTAGCTCTCCAGGAAAAAAAAAAGTAGATGTGCTCAGAAAATAGTTTTCAGTGGCTGGTAAACACATTTCTCTTCTGTGTTGCAATTTAGAAACGTAAACTGGTGGGTTTTTTAAAAGATATGATTGAAAAGTGCAGGTTTTATGGGGTGCCTGGGTGGCTCAGTTGGTTGAGCGGTCAACTTTGGCTCAGGTCATGATCTCACTGTTTGTGGATTTGAGCCCCGCGTCAGGCTCTGTGCTGACACCCCAGCTCAGAGCCTGAAGCCTGCTTCGGATTCTGTATCTCTGTCTCTCTCTGACCCTCCCCTGCTCATGCTGTCTCTCTCTCTCTCAGAAATAAATAAAAAACATTTAAAAAAACTGCAGGTTTTAGACTGAATTTGGGTTAATAATCAGCGAGTACTCTCTTTAAAAACACAGGAGACCTGATGATTAAAAAAATAGCGAGTTCAGAGGAAAGGCCCAAGTGATGAATTTGCCTTCATCTCTAGATTCTTTTTTGTTCTAAAAATAGATCATTAACAAAGTCTTCAGAATTATCTTAAGGAAACAAAAGAGAGAAAGATCTATGCTTGAGCTATTCAACATATTTATAATAGCGAAAAGTGAGCAATAAACACAGTGTATAAAGAAAGGCTTGATTTAAATTATGGTAGATCCGTAAGATAAAATATAGAAGAATTTTAATGGTGTGGGGACAGTCTACAAGGTACTGTATTGGGTAAATAGGATACAGAACCATAGACAACATGATTCAATTTTTTATTTCTATGTATAACAGGAAGTGTCTCCAGATGGGGGAGTATATTCGCCTTTTCACTTCTTTCCCACCTGTGTCTGTGTTTTCTACACTCATTACTGACTGTTGATAATTCAAAAGTTTATTTTCATGGGTGCCTGAATTTTATAAACTTCCAACCAAACTGTAATCAAGTATTGGTTGCATGGAATCAAAAGGGAAAAAACCCCAAATTTAGAAGCAGTGCAGGTTACTCTCCCCACACTTCACTGTGTCATAAGGGCCAGTGAAATAACTTTTGTCATCAAAAAAATCTCACGGCAAAGAACGACCAAAAGTGACTTCTGCTTTTAAAGTGAAAAGTCAGTTTCTCTTCTCTGCCAGAAACTTGTCCTTTCATGAGGCAATAACTGTTAAGCTTTTTTTGTGTGTACCCTTCCAGAACTTTTCTATGACTAATGATTTTCGAACCTGACCAGCAATAAGGTGGTAAAAGAAATAAAGCTTATGTGCTCTGCTATCCTTCCTTCTTAATGTTACTATATATTGACAATTACAGTAAATAAGACAAATGTGACCTCCAGTGATTTCCTTACTGATAGAGTGATGGGAACCGATATTTATAGCCATATATGCTCTTTTCATTTATGTGTCCATTTCCCTTGGGACATCATGGGAAGAGAAAGGCTTGTTTTGTTAGTACTTTTTTTTTTTTTTCAGACTGACGTGACACTGTATTAAAATGCAGGCTGAAGTGTCAAATAAGGATCTTTTTATGCATAAAGTACTATATTCCTGATAACTGCTTTCAGCAAACTGCCTGAAAAATTTTCACTTAAA